ATATGTTTGGTTAGATTATGTTTCATATCTCTCGTAAGAAGGTGATTGACATCAAGGCGGCCTCCGTGTTAACAGGTTTCTTATCGTTAAACACCAACACACACTTTATTTCGGTCAAAGACCCTAAACTAACAAACACACACTAAGAAGTCATTTTTGAATACAAAATAGATAGTTATGGATACAACTAAATATGAAACAAAGTATTTGCTAATGTGTTTATATGTGCAATGCATTCAGACTGAAATGTTTTACGACAGTTTCTGTTTAGTATTTTACTCGTCATGAAATCAATTCTTCTATACGACTGAGAAACATGCACTGAGCTTGAGTCACGAAAAGCGTTTCCAATAGGCCAATTCAAAATTCGCCAGTTCTATACTGAAGATCAAATGGCCGTCTAGCCAGAAAGAATTAGGAACAAGAGACTCTAACAATGAAAAAACCAGCAAACCAAGAGACGGTTTTTTAACAAATGTATGGGGAAAATGACAAGGCGCACAATGCAGGTTATTCCTCGGGTAGTATACCACTGAGAAGCGGCAAGTCGATAATCAGTTCGAGAATGACATGTAGGAAGTCATTTGCAGGAGGGGGAGAAACATCGGCCGTAACATGAGTCCACTTATAAAACGCACTCGGGAGGACTATCCAGCTTGGCTAGCAATGGGAGAACGCAAAGAGGTATACAGTCCGACAACAGAACATTTGATGAGTTCTGGACATTCAGACCCATTCGAAAAGTCCTTCAAAGCCATCTACAAGGGCCGATCCAAACTACCAAAGGGAGGAAAACCATGACATCCAGGAATAGCTGAGGCACTGGCGATCCAAAATCTTTAGCTTATTCTATGTATCCAAAAGAAATACGTCTAACTGTTGTCCCTACCATGGCTATCATGAAAAGTCAGTCTCACTAATAATGACTATCATATTGTCTTTCTTGTCCAACCTTCCCTTTTATTTGTTATATTTACCTTTCAAAGCCCTATCTACATTATTAGATTTGGTTACTGTGTTTTTATTTTTTTATATGTCCGAACCTCATACCCATTTCGTTAAGACTACATCCTTAACCCGTAATTATACAAACCTACTAGTTTTCTAGTAATTTTAATCCTAATTTGTCTTTTCTACCCGATCTTCCTGATTATTACACATTGTAATTTTTAATTTGACATTTGGCCTGAAATATTCCTAGAATAGTGCCACTAGCCATCTTCTGTTTATTACACTTAGCAATTTTATTAATCTGACCTCTGACCAGAAATAATTTTGAAACTTTCTCATACCTGTAGTATAAATACACGAATGTACAGCCTAGCTGATAACTTCGTCAAATAGAATCTTTTTTTCGCTGCATCTGTCTTTTCAGCTGGGATTGTGAAAATTGTAAAAATTGACAAAGTCGAAAGATAAGGGGAGGAGAAAAAAATCGTTTTTAGAAACTTAATACATATTGTGTTGTTGGCTATGGCGAAGAAAGGGGCTGTACACATTTATTTTAAACTGACTCACTGATTTGCTTTTTCAGATGAATTTCGATCACCTCTGCTGCATGTAGAAGTCTTAACCGTAAGAATATGCAGGGAGAGGTTAAGTGATATGCGATAAATAACTTTAAAAGCTTTGTTACAATCGACGAGATGCCCATTCACTTTCGATCAGATGAGCTAGTATTGAGCTGCATATGGCTTTATTCGGACCCCTGCCAAAGCAAGATGTGAGGTGTTCAGAAATTCGACGATGAACCCGCCTGATTGCAGGCCCAGTATAACTAGCTCAGAATGAGCAGTTGAACTGGTAAATACACATGGAAGTGTCGAAGCAGGACAATCTGTCTCTCTCTATTTCTTGAACTAAGTACTGGTTGGCTAGCGTATATATAGCATAGCTTGGTTAAATCGAAAGTCCCTTTGAAGGCACTTCTCAGACGTTTTGACAAGATCTCGCTATTGACATCGTCCATGAATTGTAATCTTAGGCAGCCTAATTTCTTGGGACAGTCGGCACCTTCAACCTTTTACTTTCTGAGTTCACGTGTTTGTTTACATAGTTTTTTATGTCCTAAAAGTAAGGCCCTTATTATGCTTAATACTACAGCAAGATTTAAATTCTTAGGTAAACTTGGTTTAAGTGTCGTGAGCATGGAAAGAATATGCTCTCCTTCTGTTTCAGATAACCAAAGAAGGAATGATCGACACGTTTTGAACAGCTAAAGCATAAAACTTTTCTTCTTTCCTTTTAAACGTCATCAGATTCTTTTCAATTCTACCCATTATAGTTCCGGATTCAGTACAGTCCTTTGAGATTACTTTTAGCCTGTTATGGTTTAATGCTTTTTAATTTGAGCTCAATTAAATCACTTATAAAGACACGAAGAGAAAATCTAAGTGTGATTATGCGCATAACCTCATTTTGTCAATTTACTGCAAGCTTCAGTGTGAAATTATCAGGAAATTCGAGTAGACTTCTGTAAGTATAGTTTTCGTACTAGTTAACTGAATGGATTTAAACAGACAAGAAAGAATCATAATACTCTGCACTGCTCAATTTATATTGTCAAGCCTAACTGCTCACTGCACTATCAACAAAGTTTAAGATAAGCTGTATCACAAGCTTCCAAGTTTATTGAAGGACATGAAATTTTGCGTAAAACTTTGCTTCATCTCCATCTGTTAATCAATACTGGACTGTATCTTGAATAGTTAACATTTTCCATAAAAATGTTGAAGGTTGAACACATACTGTTTTTATTTCCAAGATCAGGTCTGTAAAATAACAAGAATTACTCTAAACTTTTGATAACCGGGGTTTGCTATTCTGCACTATTTTCATTGCTTTGATGAAGTTTAATTTGCTGTAACAGCTGATTTGTGTTAGGGTTCCTACCGGCTAAATCGAAGGAAGATAAGTAATACTAAGCATTATTTACTAGACGGCAGGCGATATTCATCACTTTCAGAGGTCTCAAGATAAATACTGTTTCCTCGTCAGCAGGAACTTCATAAATGAATCAAGACACAATCTCTTGATTAATCCTGAGAGGAAACCATCAGACCACTTTTCTAACAGAATATCAGGGCGTGGACTTGATTGCATCGTGGTAATTGTTCAACTTATTTCATCAAGAATGCTTATATCAAAACAGAATGGTTCTTTTAAGACATCAGCCCACAGGAAATCAACATGGAATGCTAAATATTCGAATTTGGGTCCCTTTGAAAAGAACAAGAAATTTGATCAACTCTTAATCTTAAAAAATAACAAGGATAATTACCGGTGATACAATCGATGCTGAAATTAACAGACTTAGACAAGTCCTCATTGAAAATAGATATTTTACAAGATTCTCCTTGAAAAAACATTAAACTAATCTATAAATGCCGAAGAAAGTGCTTTTTATGAACATTGAATTCATGAGTGATGTAGCATCCACCACTGAGATTTTGAAGAATCCAGGTCGCTGAGTATGGCTTTTTTCTGAGCAATGAGTCAATAAATGTGTGAAGGATAAACTGCCACCTAGGGCCACTTCAATGTATGTTTATAAATTCACTTACTCCTATGGAGCTAGTTATATTGGCCACATGAAACACACTTTCCAAACACATGTCTGAACATCATCCAGTATGTCTACCGAGCGAAACATGTAAGATCTTTCCAACTGAATTCTCAAGCACCTGGTGAACGCAGCTGCAGAAGATTCGTCTTTTAAAACTATCTAGTATGTGAGTGTTAGGTACCATTGGTTTAAGGTATTGGCACTGGTTAAGAGGGTAGTTGAGGCACTGGCTTTTTGTCACAATAAATCCGGACTTTTTGTGTAGGGATGACTTGTACAGTGTCTTATCCTACTGTGATTATAATGTCTTCCCTACTCGACCTTCTATATTTGGTAATTAATTCACTATTATCAGTCTCACGTGTTCTTTTTGTATATTTGACTAAGTTTTTATTTTCTTATCTTCTTCTCATTTGCAAGTGAACACTCAATCGCCCTACTTCCCATCGGATAACATTTTCCCATTTAAAAGTTTTAAACTTTTCATTCTATTGTTGTCATCGGTTTTCAGGTAATTTATTCTTATCTTTAGAAACTATTTCTGATTAACTGTATAAATTTATCATCCCACGCCTGATCACCGAATAATCGACTACCTTAGGTTCCTGGTAAATACAAATAAGATTATACAGCATAGAATTGGTGGATGGTGCTAGCAGTGGAATCCAGGATAAAGCGCATTTCGTCCTATTTGGGACTCGTCATCTGGATGTACCTGCATTTCTCAGTGAGTGATGATGTTCCAACCGACAACCCCCCATTTAACCCCAAAGTTACAAACCTGGGCCAGAGCCCCTTTTTCAGGGTATATTAATTTATGAGCAAAAAGGAATGCCTCGTCCCTCCCCCCACATTAAAAAAATAAAACCCAAACCAAAAGAGCCCACACCTTGTTCAACAAGGGAAAAAAAAAATAAGATTATACAGCCTTTGAAAACGATCTTTTGGTCAATAAGGAAAATCTTTGTAGAATTGTCTTCCTTATTCCTTCGTGAGTATTTTCGACTATTTGAAACTCTAGAAGGCTGTTTCGAAAAAAGCCTTATTCGAAATTAGCCATCTTATCAATGGCTTGATTAAATGAATGTATCGAAGTGTTGGCTTGCAGGGATGTAATTGGTTTCAGGTAGAAGTTGAAATTCACGGACTGGCTATTGGATCGGGTTCCAGTCTACGGGATGGCTCGCGTTGTGACCAGAAGGTCCCAGGTTCGAACCCTAGCAGTGGTTGTGTACTGATGAAATGCACCAAACTAGGTTAACAAAGCAGCTAGCTTTCCACCAATCACTTGCGGTTTTCGAATAGTCCTCTAATCGATATCAGCTCATGATTAAATCCTAAATGAATGTAGTCGTCCACATGCTGTGGTATTAGTATTCGCAACAACAACACAAAATAAAATAATTTATCATTTGATTAAAACATACAAAGTTATTGCTGTTCAGTGTTCAACAATGATCAACGTTCAATTTTTTTTTCTCATACAGAAAGAAAGCATGAAGAAAAAGAGAAACATATACATGAAGCTGAAGAAAGAGAAGAAAGAAAAATGCACCATTACCAACAGCATAATGTGAAAAAAGGAAGAAAACTATTTATCTGATTCTGTCAGATCCGTATCATAGTCATGAAGTGAACGTGTCTGTTTCACATGACCATCCTGATAAACCTCCTGCTCCTCCTCCTCCTCCTCCTCCTCATCATCATCATCATCATCATCCTCGTCATAACTGGTATGTATAGTTGTATTATTCACTGCAGTGATTATTGTCGTATTTTCTGTTATATTCATTTTAATATTTTCAGTTTGATTGAATGAATATTCATCACTGTCATCATTCTGTGTTTGATTAAATTTTTTCATCTTACTATTACTACTACTACTGCTATAGGGATGAGTAATAGTTTTTTGTAGTGAATGAAAATACTGTTGATGCTTAGGACATGGATGATTATTATAACATTGAGAACAATCTGATCCATGATGATGATTATGATGACAGTGATGACGATGAGGATGATGATGATGATGATGATGAGAATTGCGGTGATAGGCGGCACACTGTTTCGATTTATGATGTACATGATGTTTACAACGAATTATCCATGGACATAAATTTTTGAACAGATCAAACAATCCACGTCGAAAGGTATTACTCATCCATATATAGACGATAGGATTATAACATGTAGCTGACCATGCACTTAACTGGCATAATAACCATGTATAAATGATTGTATCTCTTTGAAATGCATCTGGTTTATTCACTGTTATAATATAGATCAGGTGTCTGGGAAGCTGAGAGATGGCGTACAATGAAGCGACTATGATCACCATTTTGATAAGCTGTAAAAGAAACAAAAAGATAAGAAGAATTCTCACACAGTTATGAAGTTAACTTGGTAAAAGTTAACTAAATATGTCCTCTTTGATTCGATGCTGAATAGTTAACACGAGCTAAGCACTTTGTGCGTCGGTGGCACAGCGGCTAATACGCTCGCCGACCATGTACATGGTCCGGGGTTCGAGCCCCGGCCGGCGCACACCTTTATCTCGCTAAGCCAGTAGTGTGACTGGTAAGGAGGAAAGGTTGGCATGAGACTAGCAACCCCATCCTGTAAAAAATCAACACTGCTACGGAATCTTCAAGCCTATAGCTTGGAGCCCTATGTTCCACTGGAAACGTGAAGGAAAAAAAATGTCCTCTTTGATTCGATGCTGAATAGTTAACTAATTTCATGCCTCTAATTCTTGATGTCAGTGTAGACTGAATTATATCAGACAAGTTTGTGATTTACACATGTCCAAATCAAGTTCACTTTTAACAGTTCGAAAAATTCGGGCATTGTGTATATGCGATATTCATTATAATATAGGTTTTATTGTATTTCCTAATGAACGAAAAACAAAAGGATATTGTTGTTTTTACTGACGTTTTGCTATTTAATGCTAACAGCTTTATCAATGCATTATTAAAAGAGAATTTACAAAATCCACTCAGCTTATATTTAACAACTCAAACATCGTTCATTAGCACGGGGGAAATTTTACGTTGTTGTCAAATTGGACAATTGGTGAAGATAACAAGACCAGGTGTAGACTGTTGGATTCGATAAGTGTGAAACATTCTAAAGGCAGTGTGTGTTTATATAATGAAATTGCTTATCACATTCGTGTTGAATTTGTCATTTCATGAGGCATCGGTGGGATGTTGTAACCAGGTAAATTCTGTTTTAGTCCATCATTCCTATTCAGTTCAGACAATTTGTATTCCACTTGATATGAAGTGCTTCTGATGATGTGAGACGGTCTTTGTGATTTGTGAAACGCTTTTTCTGGATTATTTCAATATTGTCAACACCAATTTTGTGACCTGATTCTATAGCATCGCGTGTAGACGAGCTATGTCTGATGATTTTTCAAGCTTTTCTAGTTCAATTCCATTATGGGTAAATTTTGTTTTGATAAAGTCTCACAGCGTTATACAGTAATGTTTACTGATGACGTTTCGAGCACAATTTATTGCTCATAATCGTCATCAGTAAACATTACTGTATAACGCTGTGAGACTTTATCAAAACAAAGTTTTCTAGTTCAACTTGATTTCTCGATGGTCGAACGGAGGCGGCCTGACTTTGATTTCTTGCTATGTTTGTCCTAAGTATATCGTATCAAATTCTAAGTGTTTTATTTTATAGACACAAATATACAGAGGATCTCTCAGGATTTGGTCTTTTATATGGACAAGGTTGAGCTTACTGAGTACTCTTCTGATGTCGTCTAATGTCTCCGCTCTTTGTCGAAGGACAACAGTCGAGGTTCATGTTTTCGGAATATATTTTCGACAATCTTGAAAGAATTCATGTCCATTCTGAGATCTGAAGCTGGGTCATCCACTGTTACAGTCAGAGATATTACCATTGAACTATTTGAACTTGTGATTGACCTCTTGTAGGCATGTACTGAATACTTTCAGTGGACATACGGTAGTGACTAATGTCACGCGTCTAGCGCTTTGTTCGTTCAGTACAAATTCGTCAATGTTTTTTAATGAAGAAAATTTCTTGAATGATGAATCACTTTTATTAGCTATACAATCGTTTTTATACATATCAAAGAAATGGTAAAATCAATCACGTTTATTAAGTAATTTCAGCCCCCGTCTTCTTCTAATCTCCGGCTGGTCATCCTATTTTAGATTATCCTTCACAGTACGTAACATATTTTCTAGAATATAGTTACCGATATCTGAATGTTTCCTTAACTACTCTGTTCAATGTAAATACAACTGTATAGCTATGAAAAATGATTCATCGGAAAAAATTTTCCTCGCCGTTCCGTTTTGTTTTACTTTTGCTTTTACTCAGTCTTGTGGTCTAGAATAAATATTTGAGTTATGCAATCTCAGAATTACGTAAATGGTTCAGAAAATTAGTGTGATGATTCACGCAAGTTCTCACTGCAAATGAATGCCCCAAAGCATTCACCGGGAAAAAAAATGAAAGGAATCAGAGGCCTGAAAGAATCTAAACGGTGCTGAAGAAATTGTTATTTTTGAAATTTGAAATAAAAGGGTGATACTACAACTGAAATTCTAAACAGCCACTTGTTGCTGAGTACAGCTGAACTCATTCCTGCAGTAGAATATTGATCAATGAACGTGTGAAAGACGAACTGCCACTTCATGTCACTTAATGTGTGTCTATAAATTTGTTTGCTTCTGTGAAGCCAGTTATATTGGCCGCACAATATCGAAATTTTCGAAAATCATCTGGAACGGTTATGAAAAAGGAAATATAAGACAATCAGTAGTTCGATTCTCGAGCACTTGATAAACGTAGGACATGGAGATCTAATAGAGTCACCCTTTAAAAATACCTGCAAAGTGAAGCCAAGTGGTAGAATGGATGACTGGTTTCGGTATTTGCGCATGTTCAAGACAGTGTCGATTTGTATATAACCATGAACTACGTGCTGGAAAAGATTTCTTCAGTCTTTTTCATCCTACTGTAGCTCTTAGCTCTTTTCTACCCATTCTCTTCTACTTTTCTTCATTCATTTTCTGTTACCACCACTCTTACGTGATCATTTTGAACACTTTCCCATCCTCTTCACACCTATCAGATGGAGACTTAACTACTTTACTCCTCATTCAGTAATAATTCCAATTTTGTGATACTTCAATCCCTTTATCTAAATGTATTCTTCATTATTACTTAATTTTTATAATTTCGTTTTTTATTTTGGAAACTGCTTCTGATTAATTATATGAATTATGTTATCCCCTATTAGTCAATGATGGACTACTTCAAGTTTTTGTAAGTGTAAGTACAATTGTAAGGCCTATGAAGATAATTTGATACATCAGTGATTCAGCAATAGAAAGATCGTCAACCACTCATGTGGTTCGGAGTTTGACCCCCTGCCAAAGCAGTTGTCCTATAACTCTCTAAGCTGGTAGTAAAACCGGTAAATAGAGAAGGTTAGGCGTTAGGCTGTTAACCTCATTCCGTAAAAATAAAAACCAAACACTCAGTGCAATCGAAACTTCAAATCCTATGTTCCGCAATGATAGTGCCGCTGACAAAGAGAATCTCCTTCGTTGAATTATCTTTTGACTTCTTCGTGACTCGATAGGCATTTTCAGAACTCTTGATCAGTATTTTTTTCTGCATTTGTAAAGAAATAAAAAAAACAACTCACTCCTTGTTTGTTGTTGTTGATGTTGTTCCTTGAAGCTTTCCCACTCGAGAGAAGTGCATATTGTATCAGTTAGTGTTTTGACTAAATCATCGCTAACATCATCGCTAAGGAACATCAAAACAATAATAATGAATAATTATTGTTCTTTGACTTATTTCTAGAGATGCCTTTTCACAAAACAGAAGAAAAAAATAGTCATGCGTTCCGGATAAATGATGACAGTTTCTTCCTTAAGCTCTAACCTTGTCTGGTTTACGCAAGACAGAAAGCAAAGGAAAAATTATTTGCCATGCTTATTATTTATTTTTCAGTTTGTTTTTTGAAAATAGTTATGACATGAGCTATTTTTTTTACAGGAAATTTTAAACCACAAAAACTTAAATATAAATAAATAAATAAAGTACCAATAAACAACAAAATTTCAGAGATTTAATACTGATCTTCTTGTTTATAAAATTGGGTAAAAACAAAATAAAACAATAATATCATGTGTAGCAGTTGATTATAAACTCATTTATATGTCATTGGTGATGGAATTTAAGCACGTATCTAACTCCTTCATTTGAAGCTTATACTGGGATCTGTTCTTTTCTAGTAGCAGCCTAAACACTATCTTACTAGCTTTTTAGAAAACCGCATTGATATGCTTTGATGAACTTGTTCCTAAATGTAAAGGAGAACTTCAATGGTCAAAACACAAAACACTTCATTCCTAGAAAAAGAAGGGCTAAACTACGTAGACTGTACTGACAGTACCAAAGAGAAAATGACATCTCATGTCTTGTAAATATATCCAGAACATTTATCTCAAATTAAAAGAAAATAACTACAAGAAAATGCAGCTCTTAAAGATAACTCAAAATATACTGCAATCAGTAAGATTTATTTCAAAAAGGCTAAACTCTCGTAAAATGCAACTTAAGGACTCGATTTCGTCCTTTGTTGACATTCCTCATTTGAATGTATCTGCCGGCTAATGAGTACTAATATTTCACTGAACCTTGAACGCTTCCGGAATACATAAGTCCAATGGAAATTTATGGTCACTAGGCTAGGTAACAGAGAATTTAGAAATAACAGAGTGAGAACAGAAACATATTCCTTTTTCAATTCCTTCCACATCCTCGGTTGGCTGTACACTAATATGTAGTATTTACAGTCAAATTTTTCTACCAATCAATCGGTTCTTTTAGTTCATCAGTTTTAGGTATACCTAGGCGAACCGGTTTGAAATTAGGAGGTTGAAAGTTATCAAAACATCAAGTAACTAATGGATGTTAGCAACAAGATATCTAAGCTTTGAGGGGAATAGAGGTGAAAATTAATTACGGAATTCAGGATCTGTTAACTAATTCGTAGGTATGAAAAAAAAGACATTAAGTGAAGAGACCCTTTTAGAAGAATTCATTCACATAGCTGTACAACCGCACTTATATACGACTAATTGTGAGTGTGTACATGAGGTTTGTCAAGTTTAGATAATTAATCAGGTAATGCAAGAATGATCTAATATAGAAACAAAGTTAATTAGACAGCAACTAAAGTAAAATTGAGTTAGTAAGTCAGATAACGTACCCAGCGTTCGCTTTCCAAGTGTGTCACCGAACACTTACCAACATGGTTTTACAAAGGAGAAAAACGAT